AATGCTCACGGCGCGCACGCCCGTGTCGTCGTAACACCATTGTGTTGCGTAACACGTCGGGAGGGCCGTCGAACTCGATAGCGCGTTCCGCGTATCCTCCGCCGCAGGACGCACTCCTGCGGACGAGGAGGAAGTGCGCCGCAGCAAAGTGATTGATACCGCGAACGTATGAGATCAGCCGTCCACTTTCGGGTTGTTAACGTGTCGGCAGTGGATTTTTGGTTTCAATTTTTTTTTTTCATTTTTTTCTGGCCCGAGTTCAACGCTCCGTCGTCTCGCGCGGAAAGAGAGGCTAGTCTCTCGTCACGTCGGCCGTGCACCGCTACCCCGTCCGCGTGTAATTAACCGACGGACCGCTGCGATAGGGACGGGTGGTGTTCTAATTCGGGTCCGCCCGACACACACCGTACGTACTCCCGCCGGCGCCGCGCGCGAATGATGCTCGTTCATCGTATGCTAAAATAAGCGTGACGCGAACGTCCGCCTAGAAGGAATGCGCGGGCACGGCGACATCACGTCACGGACACCACCGTGTTCCCCGAGAATTCCGCAACCAACCATGCGGTAGCCCTTTGTCCCCGGCGGGGCCGCCTGATTTAATAATTCGCCATGTAAATGTGTCACGCGCAACGGGGAATCGGGAATGGACACGAGTACGCAGTATTCGAGAAAAACACTTTTGGCGGGTACGATTTTTTTTTTTCCATTATCAAATCCAACTTATTCGTCATTACGCTGCTGAGAAAGCAATCCGCTAAACAATACTAACCTCCCGCCACCACTTGATGATCGTCAGCCGCGGTTTGGAACCATCGAAGTCGACGGATGATTAACCCGCGCCGAATTCGCGAACGTGCGGACGACCAACTCGGAGAGACGCAAGCGCGCGGTGACCGTTTAAATATTTAAAACCCGCGTACCGGCCGATACGCGGCCGACACGTGCAATCGCTGCTGCTGCTGCCGGTGTCGAGATTTATTCCGAGTGCGTACGGTGAAAACGGTTCCTCTTTTAATCTTTAATATTCATGTAGCCAATCTCTCGACGTTCGAAATTTGAGGGAGCTACGGACTTTACGATTTTTTTTTTTTTAAACTTATTTCAGAGCCCGTGTCATTTTTAATATAAACATTTTCATGCAACAAAATTCGTCCGAAAACACTTTCCGGAAAGTTATATAACTATATATATAACGAATGTAAAACGGTTAAATGGTAAACCCAATACATTTTGACTATTTTCTTCTAATTTTGAGGAAAATAAACGAAGGAGATCAAAATCTTATGTTTACCGACACTTATTTTTTTCAACGACAATACATGGTATTTAATGGAAGAATTGGTATAATTCTAAGATTAAATTACTAATAAGTCATACAAATAACCTTATATACTAGTATTATATACACTACAATTATAAGTACTTGACATAAAATAATTATTATATAGACAACGCCCAAAAATTAAACATATAATAATATTAGCTTAATATACAAATGTGACATTAAACATTGCTACATTAAACTTAACCTTTACAATCCATACACTAAATAATATAAAGACAATACTTGAACACTGAACAATAAGCATTTTCATAGGCCCATTCAGTGTCTATAAGTGAGCCAATACTTATGTTAACCACAAGTTATCAAAAAGTGAGTTTTATTAAAGTAAATATTTTGTTCACTTTAAAAATGTGTTTTTAATGTTAGTGTGTACTTTTAACTTTACAGTACTATAGAATTTATATAATAGATGTTACATTTTATCTCAAGCTTTATGGATTATCCATCATGTAAGTTTGTACAAATTGTATAAGCGCGAGGCGAGGAATTTATAGTTAATAAAAATCATTTGTTTTCGTTAAAACATACATAATTTTATCAAATCTGTACTTTTCTTAGAGAACTATACAAAAATAGAAACATGTAATTAAATAAATGTATAAATAAATAAACAAATAGTTTATTTATAGATATAAATAAATAAAAACTTAGGCCTACACAAGGTTTATAGTATAGTATCAGTTTATTAACTATATAGCCTATCATTATATTTGTAAAGTACGACTGGTTTCGAATTAAAATTTCATAGTCAGACATACGAATATATACAAAGTTAACAAAACCACGGCTGAATATGAAAAAACAAATCCCAACTCAAAGTAAGTAAAAGGTTAAGCTTTTATTTATTTATTTATTTCTATAAATTAACTAAGTATTTGTTTATTTATTTATATATTAATTTACGAGTATTAACCATTTCATTATTATTAATTTTAATTTAATTTTTTATTATTTTATTAATTAAACCGAATTAGAGAAATCCGAATCAGATAAACAATGTTGTATACTTTTTCATATTTTCCATACAAAGAACTGACTGAAAGAACAAATTCCATTATAGGTTCTTTTTATCGCTATACTTATAACAAAAAAAAAAAAAAAGACTAAAAGAGAGATGATGGGAACTATTTGTAAGTGATACGAGGACAGATGGTGATATTCAAGGGGTTGATGGGACATCGATACTCGTAGAGAACTAATAGCTCTTGATGAATTTCATTTAATAATCTCAAATGTCATTGTTTTTGGTTTTACTTAAAGGTCGATAAACATAACGCTAACTGAATTGTAATTCTAAATATTATTTTAAAACATAGCTTGATCGGAAAACATTTGATTATATAGCTCTAGGATTCAGCTTATTAATATTTTTTAGTGAACATATTTTCAACCATTATCTACTTCCGTATGAGAATCCTTAAATACTCCACTGGCTACTGTGTCGAAAACTCAGCGGTTTGTAAGGATCAAGACAACCGAAACCCGTTATGATGGTCGCGGGACACGAGCGATACATATACGTGCGTATACACAGAGGTGCATATTATGTATTATTATAATTGTCATTATCATTATTATCTCGGTCACTAGGTTTTTAATTTATCAGGTTGAAATCCTATTTATAAAAACACTTTTCTCTCTCACTCTCTGGCATGACCCTTTCCCAACGATAGGATATTCTTTATTTTGACCCACGTATACTCAGTTTTTTAACAGTTTTACAATAGTATATTATTTAAGTTTTTTTTTTTTTTTTTTTTTTTTAATTCAGGTCACAATATTGTTACTATTTAAACATATTTTTTTTCAAACTTACTAACAAGTATCTAACCTCGTACAGTTATTATAATTATCGTTATAAAACATTTGTCAAATTGGTGACTCACTTAAACTTCCTGCGTGGTACCGAGTTTACCTATGCATATCACCTCTATCGTATATTTGAGTGGTTTCTGTTGTTTTTTAAAAAGACACTTGATAAATTGATGTCAGACATTATTACATACATATCATTATTATATGTTTATCTGAAACCATTCATTGGCACTTGAAGGCATAAGTTGCGTTTGAGAAAAAAATTAAAATACCTTCAAAAAACCGTTTTACAAAATCATTTAATGGATGACGACATAAAAACGATCATTGAACGTTCAGAAACTATTAAGACAATGTACTATAATCTTGAAGGTCTGGAATATGTTCGATCGTAAGAATTCAATTGTATATTGCTATAACTGCATGAAAATATAACAAGAGGAAAACAACGTGCACGGAGGGTTAAATAAGTCTTATCGACCATCACCCCTCTGCTACCGAAGTATGAATACGCCGAAAACAAGATGATGGTTTTGCCCACGTTCCCGCGTACTCAGAAGTACAGCATCCGTCAGCGATATAGCACGTACAGGAGTGCGAAACCAGTTTTTGCGCACGAAAACGGGACGGGGTACCCGGACAACGCGGCCGCGGACGCCGTTGGCATTTGAACGTCACAGAAGGTTATCGGGTGGCGGCCATCATCGGTCCTGTTGGAAATTTTCATCGTGGGACCATCCCAGCGTGGCCCCGACGACCCTGCGAGGCCTAAGCGACACAGTGTGTCCCGGCGCGCAGCGGAAAAAATCACCAGCAGAAAACGCACACGTGCGCACGGCATGAGAGTACGCCGGGGTGCGCGCGTGCAAGAAAAAAACGACCGGGAACGGCGGCGACACGTGTGCCGCGCAGCAGCGACGACGGTTGAGTGACGGGTACCCCCCCATCCGCGTCCCAGGAAACGCGTCCGCCGCGAACACGAGCACAAAACGCACAGTACATTATGTACAACAACAAGTGACATAATAACGTAATGACGAAACGGCCGCGGAACCCGCACGCACGGGCGTCTTCCATTATGATAATAATACACAATATCATCGTGACGAATACTCGATACTCGGAAATATCTCATTAAACCGGGCGCAGCACTGACCCGGTAACCACTACCGTTTTACATTATGTAATTTGTGTAATATGTATTTGTGCACTGACGTAGCCTCGAAAGGTTTGGAATTCAAAACCTTCGTTGGTTCTATTGCTATTATGTTTTCTATTTTCTCAATCACGAGTTTAAAAACATTTTCCGTACAAACGCATCCATCATCATTTTTCTCTTCGTGAAAGATTCCTCTTAAAATTCCTCCGGCACACCAATAATATCAACTCGGTGCATCGTGCACCACGGAATGAATATAGCGCTAATAGTATAATTGAACGTTTAATACATCAGGATTGGTGGGACCTACGGTCGTTAAACGGTCGTTTAATATAACGCTATGTCGCAATCGTTTAACGCGCCTTTGTTGAAAAAAAAAAACAAACACAGTGGACCCGGGTGCGTACAGGACGAGTCTAAATACACGCACTGTCGTGTTGACGTAGACCGTCGGCCGACGTGTTTGAAATTGCATTTTTAACGAGACGCCGGCGAAAACAAACGACAATAACAATAAATAACCTGATAACGGAGTGGTGGTACTCGCTATCAATATGTAAACAGAGGAGGTTTTGAAACGTAACAAAAGCAACAATAATAATAAATAATAATAAAATGTTCGCGTACAGCACTGGTGGTGGTGGTGGTGAAATGGGTCTGATTAGAAATAATCGGGCTTACCTCGTGAAATCGGTCGGGGAGAAACGCCTTTTTCGGAATCTGCTCGCAGCCGTCCGCGGTCGCAACAATTATTGTCACGACTCGGAAACGCGACGGCGGAACGGACGGGAAACCGAACGCACCGCGGCTAGGACGTGCGCGGGAACGTCGGGAGTCCGTGACGTGCGGACGACGGACGGGTGACGGATGCGGCGTTTGCGACGGGAACAGGACGGTAACGCGACGGACCGCGACTTGTCGACAGCATTTAGAGACGAACGGGTAGGGGGACGGCGACGACGGAAAATCGGTGTAACGTTCGACCGGCGATAATGGATTTCGGCGGGCTCTGGGATATCACTGCGAAAAGGGAAAAAATCGAAAAAAAAAAAATCATGAAAACCACCAAACACCGAACGCGACGTCCCCGCCCGTGACGATTACTGTCGCGAGCGCACGAAAACGGTAACGTACGACGACACCGCGGCGAGCGCGCGAGGAACACAGTTACGGTACGCGATGCGGTAGGCGCGCGCTTGATAACACCGAAGCACCGTCGCAGAGCGGTTAATAATGGTATAATACGAGATGAGTCAACGAACGCGCAATGCAGCAACGGCGCGTCGTGAACGGTCGTCGCGGACGGCGGGCCGATTGTGGCCGACGGCGCACGGCGACCGAGCGCAATAATCGACCGGTTAGCAGTGCGCCATCTGTCCGCGCCCGCGCGACCCCTCGATCGCCCTGCCCCGCGCGCCCGACGGTGGATGAGTCACCGGCGCGCGGTCCCGTTCGTCCGGTGCGGACGTCGGTGCACGGTCGACCGAGTTTTCGTTCCTGGCGCGCGGATGACGCATCCACGGCCGGCCACGGCCGACGTGGACGGTTCTCCCGTTTTCGTTCGAACAGTGGACGCTCTGACGAGACCCGAAAGGAAACGATGAACTCGACTGGTGCGCACTCGTTGCCCGGTTTTCTGCTCGGTGTTCCGTTTTGTTTTCGCAAGTTTTTCGTAAAACGGTCCGTAACGCGTTTCCGGATAAAACCGTTTAAATGTATGACATTCCGTTACGGAATCGTTTATAAATCGAACAGAAAACGTAGGTCGTTGTTTAACTGGCCAGTCAATCATTAATCAACGGCTCGCAGTAGGCCAAGACTATATAAACATTTAGAAAACTCATAAATGTAATGGAATTAAAGTATAAGTACTTCGTCAAATGCTTCACGGAAATAGAGATTATCGTACAATCAGAAAAATGTATTTTTCATTCGGCAGACATATTTAAAATATGTGTAAATGATTAACCGGTAAACAAACAATGGGCGCTAATATGAGCTTGATACTTTTTAAAATGTAGTCGGTACGCTAAACGAAGCAAACACTCGAAAAACGAATCTATTCATGCAAGATTGAAATAACGAACTCCAAATTTTCCGTTTCATTTGGTCTATTGGTTTTTTTACAATTTCATCTACGAAATTGAAATCTTAGCGTGATAAATCTAGCATTTTTGGGTAAAAGTAATGCCTGCAACTGCATTGTAAATGTAACATAATGGTTAACATTCATAATATTTTCATCTAAGTGTATATTACTCTTTTCCAAATAAATATTTACTCGTCTATCTATATGCTTTCTATATGCTATACGTCTATATGCTTTTTTTTCTTCCGAGGAAACTCCTTAGTTTTCCTTAGTGAATGCTATTTTTAAAGGACTAAATTACATGATTGAACGGATCTACGATTTTTCTAAGCGACATTTAATTAAGAAAATAAGAATATACAACAAGAGATCTTCGACAATTTTCCAAAAAAAATGGGAAAAATATGTTTTGACGCATTGTAGTAGGTAGTGTTTTGATTCTCAGATCCCACGACTCATATGGAATAAATATTCTGAGTTACTAACAATTTTTTTATACCACAAGTAAATTATCGAAGAACTAAATATTATAACTCTTACATCAAATACATTTTTCAATTTTCGTCGAAAATTAAAAATACAGGGCTTTTAATTGAATTTAAATCATTTATAGCAAAAACAGGTAAAATTTAAAAATTCTTCATAAACCACAAAACCTACTTCTAATCATAAAATAATAAAAGCCGGATCTATTTCCGAACATAACTAAATCTCTAAATTTCCATTGATAATGTAAAATATAGATACATATTATTTAAATTAAAATTTCGTAAAACCATCTATAACTTTAAATCTGTTAAAATAAAAGTACTTAAAAATAAGAATCTTACCTGAACTAGATGGTTCCATAATTAATTTAGAAGAATTAAAATAATACCATAGACAAATATAACTTTAAATCTGTTAAAATAAAAGTACTTAAAAATAAGAAACATACTTGAACTGGATGGTTCTATAATTAATTTAGAAGAATTAAAATAATACCATAGACAAATATGAAATCGTTATTTTGAATAAACCTTGTCTTGTCGTCTAGTATATTATAATCTTTATGTAATGTTACTTATGGAGTAGGATTCTACAATTTAAACTAATGACTTGTTATAGAATTATAATATAATTATATTATATATATTATATTATATTTTATTATTATATTATATTATGGGTAGATAGATAAGTTAAAAGTCAAATATAAACTTAAACCGCTTAATTTTTTTTTTTTTTTTTTAGATTTTAGTAAATAAGTTGTAGCTTTTTCTCTACTGTACGTTTATCGAATTCGATATATTGTTTGAAAATATAATATCATATTCTTTTAAAATATTTATCTCTTACTATAAATACAAATAGCTTACAAATAGCTTCCCTATTTATTTACGCTTATTTTTAATTTATAAATGCATTATTATTGAAGCTTCTATTAACTCGCTCAGTAACTTTTAAAAAGAATGTCTCTATTTGAAATACGACGCATTACTGTGATAAATCATCAAACTTTATCGTTGTTCCGTACTAAGAATGGTATTTTACCATATTCACCAAAATCTAAACCGATATAAAAATAGGCACATTTCATAAAAAGGATGTCTGGTTTTTATGACCGTATGGGTTTTTATTTTTATTTTTATTTTTTAATCAACTAAGACCACTAAAATTTTAACATAAAAATACCATTTCAAAGTTATTTATCACACTATCCAGCTATTTTCTTCAAAGTAATTTTTTATTTAATATAATTTTATGTATAATTTTTTAACACCTTTTTTAGTTTATCTCTGTTCTTCGACGCGTATTTTACTACCATTGCCCATTTGTGACCAGTGTGTAAAATGACTCCTCGTTTAACATTTTAATGTCAATTTTCACATCAAAAGTGAACAAAAGTTTACAAATAAATATGTTAATTCAATAATCTCGCCATCTGTTTATCAATATGTGGGTTAAGTTATCCAACTGAATACAGGAATATCCCTTTTTAGTCATATATCCCGTCAACCTAAAAATTTACTTAAGGACACCAAAATGTAACCCATAACTTTATTGTTGAAATATAATAAAACTGAACAATTATCACTTGAACAACTACGAACTGTATTATAAAAATGTAGGTACTTGAGAAATATTTATTTATAAATGATATAAATATGAAAACATATGTATAATGTATATCATGGTATATTTATTATTATTTATACAAACAACCTCAATGTCATAGGTTAAGTCACAATATTTAAAAAATAACTCCCTTAGCTTATAAAAAGCTCTATTTTTATAAGGATATTTTAATTAACACAAAACAATTCCATAAAATATGATAAAAATAGTCAAAGGTGGAACTAGTAATTTTTACGCATTATCATAGACCAATAATCAAATACACTTCGCGACAATTTTTTTCCACTAATTAATATACAATCATACTTGTTGAATTTTGAATCTTACATCAGTACTCAACAAAGTTAAAAACATAAAACTAGTTGTTAATAACTACAAAAATTACATCTTCTAAAATTTTACGCCCGGAAAAATATCCCCGTCTTCTACCCCCTAGTTCCGCCACTGAGAATAAAAATATTATGAATATAATATCTATAATAATGTTTGTGATTATAAACATTTATAATATATAACGAGTACACAAACCGCTAAACGTTAAAAATTAAGATTATTATTACGGGCAAGACCATTTAAACATGTCTTCGAAATATTTTTAGCCATAAGAGCCCATATAATATCTTAAGTTTGTATTCTGGTTTCATTTATTTTGTGTATCTCAATTCTCAAACTAATAAACTACGATATACTTTTCAATGATAACTGATATTATCAATACGTGTTTCTCTACAAATGAAAACCACAATAGCAATTTTTTTTAATATCACTACTATTTTTTATCACTCAAATGACCTAGGTACATATTATATCAAAATATGCTCTTCAAAATGTATCACCCCTAAATAAGTTTCTGGTTATTGGTTTTAATTTTTTTATATATTTATTCAATATTTAAATTAAAGTATTTCATACCTAATATAATATGTATATTCTACCCTTATCACAACCTACTAATTATGTCCCCTAGATATAGAACATATAACAAATATAAATTTTAATAAAAATAAGATGTCATTAATAATATAATATACTAACAAGTAGAGTACGGAATTAAATTAATTTGCATGTTTTACTGAGTAAATCAAACATTTGATAAATAAGCTACAAATTTAAAAGATACCTAAACGTGTTCAAAAATGAAATTGTATATACAACATATAAATGCATTTTTTTAAATAAGATGATGGGTTGCTAGGATAAATTATAGAAGGCTGCGTTGAAGGAAAAATGCTAGGGGAAGACCACGAATGGAATATATACAACAAATAATAGAAAACCAAGGGTATACTTCTTATGAAGAGACAAAGAGGAAAGAAAGTAACAGGGAAGAGTGGAGAATTGCTACAAACCAATCTCAAGATTGAATACTAAAGAAATAACATTTAAATTTTACTGCATAGTCTTGTTTGTTTGTTTTTTTTTTTTTTTTTAATGAGCCATCAATAAATAATATTTAATAAGAATTTCGTACTTTGAATATTTTAAAATTAGTTTTTTGAAAAATGTGATTGCAAATAAAAAGTTCAGACATTACAATAAGAAAAAAAAGAAGGTTGTTCAACTTTACGTAACTTACAGACGTATGGTTGAAATATATCAATTAAAAATAAATATCTCATGTCCAAATCGTAAATTGTTAGCTTTTCGAATCCGCCAGACCCGTAGAAATATAATGTTTATTTGTGGAAGTATTAAAAAATGTAATTTATACATGAAATGATTTATTGAATTATATTATCCTTACAAAACATTTACATGGCCTTTACCACTTCAAATTGTTTCTATGTATAGTGTTAACATTCATCAGTGTTATAGTGTTGGTGATACAACATTATGATAAAAATGGAAACTTTGATCTCCAAGCACAAATTTTGGTTTTATATATGATTTAAAACCATTTACCATTAACAAATTTTGAAAATTAAAAAAAGAATTAAATTAACGTATAACGTAAATATAAGTGTCTTTAAGCAATTATTTTGATAGATTTTGGAACATGAAATTCCGGGCTTTACAATAAGCATTAATCTTAGCTATATTAATATATTGTTACTTGGTGTATAGTACCTAATTTGAAATACATTTGATATTATATGC